CAATGGGCTGGCGCTGGATGATCCGTTTTTCTATCATCCCCAGCATCATACTCATTGGACTCTTCATGGTGAGTTTCATCTATTTTGCTAAAGGAAATGGAAGTAGAGGTTTGTCTTTGACTCACTTGCTCACTCTTTTCCTTTTTTTTTAGTTTATTCCTGAGTCTGCACGGTTCCAGGTCTCAGCAGGAAACACACAGGAAGCCTTGTCTACACTTAATTGGATCGCTAGGATGAATGACACCACCTTACCAGAAGGAGAACTACGGGAACCTGAAGTGGTGTGTATGAGAAGTTCTTTTTTCTTTATCTGAGTCTTTTATGACTCAAGATCTTACTTTTGCTTATTTACAATAAGCAAAAGTAAATAAAATATAAATCTATTATCTATTATTAATATAAATAATTTTCATTAATATATAGATTATATATAGTAAGGATGCTCTGATAGTAAAAATTCAGGCCAAAAACTATAAGCCGATAATTAATTATTTTCAAATGATGGTCGACAATGTTTAAATGACAGATATAAAATTCTAAATAAATTACAATTAAAACACTACAAATTAAAATCAGTCATTTTAAATGCAACAGGTGAATCCACAGCATAATTATGTATAGTATGAAAAATGTGCTCAAGATCACATTTTAACATTTTACGTATACCGATCACATTTTTAAGATGAGAAAGATAATCATAAAAATATTGAAAATGAGCATGCATAATTAAATATACAATATTTACAGAAAAAAAAAATATATATCAGCCAATAACCGATATGGTGCCGATATATTGTACATTACTAACATATAGACAGACACAAATCCTACACCGAAACATTTTGAAAAATATTCAAGTGTGTATATTTCATATATACTGTTTATGTAATATGTAATAATGAAGCCTCATTCCTTTTTAAGATGAGAAAGATAATCATAAAAATATTGAAAATGAGCATGCATAATTAAATATACAATATTTACAGAAAAAATATATATATATCAGCCAATAACCGATATGGTGCCGATATATTGTACATTACTAACATATAGACAAACACAAATCCTACACCGAAACATTTTGAAAAATATTCAAGTGTGTATATTTCATATATACTTTTTATGTAATATGTAATAATGAAGCCTAAATATATAAATAGTTAAATAAATATATATATATAGAAAATATATAAATAGTTTGAGACAGTAGAAAGGTATTTTTGAATGGTTACGAAGTATCTGGCAGTGAAAAAAGAGGCACTCATTTCTCTATACAGTATGTATAACTCTACACATTCATTTATGCGTTTATATGAGTGTAAATGCACTTGAGTGCAACTAACAGAACTGTTTGTATTCAGACAGAAAGAGGAAATGCCATCACTCTGATCAGCCCGGCTTTTAGAAGAACATCACTTTTGCTGTGGTACTCATGGTAATGTCTAACACACTTCCCTTTGGTTTGTTTGTTTGGTGTTGTGTGTGTGTGTGTGTGTGTGTGTGTGTGAGTGAAAAATACACTTTTCGTTTACTGTGCAGCTTGTATGCTTGATGTGTGATGTACTACATTGTTCATCCACAGGTTTGTGGCATCCTTCTCTTATTATGGCTCCGTTCTAAGCAGTTCTGAGTTACTGGAGAAGAACCTTCTGTGTATGACAGATGCTGACGCAGAGCACCAGATCAAACACAACCAGGAGGAGGCACTGTGTTACTGTATCCCATTCAACATGGCTGACTACCAGACTCTCCTCATCAGCTGTTTGGGCGAGGTGGCACGTGAGTGACCTTTGACCTCTCACTTGACCCAGTTTCACATACTCAGCTGAGTCAAATGTTGAAAGCTGATGTATGTTTTCCTTGTGTTTCCTCTGCAGTCATACCCCTCAATATTGGCATGTTAAATATATTCGGACGGAAGCCCAGCTTGGCCATACTTCAGCTGCTGTCTGCCTTTTTCTTCATGCTTGTTAATATTTGCACAACAATGTGAGTATATTGTTCTTTTGTTCTGTAAAATGATTTAAAATGCTTTTCATCAGAGTTATTATAGTTAAATAAAACTAGAACCAATGCGTTTTTATTGCTAACTAAAATACATATGTATATATATATATATATATATATATATATATATATATATATATATATATATATAATATGAATGTTGAAGTGCTAAAATGCATACACATGTAAAAAAACAAAAGTACAAAAAATTCAACAAATGTATATTAAAACAGAAAATATAAAAATAAACATAATTAAAAATGATGATATAATACCAAAATAGACTGTTTTTCATTGATTTATTTTACTGTGTATGTATGAAATTCTAATGAAGTATGTACACTTAATGTTGAATTATATTGTGTACCTGCTTGTTAGAGCACACTGCTTTTATTATTGCTATAGTAATTAATTATAGTACCATATGTTTCGTGTAGATGCTAGTAGTGTTACCATTCATTGTTCAATACAAAACCCCAGTGTTGTGTACGTCTAGATGACATTGTGTCCTTAAAAAATAAAAATAGTTTCACACATTGTATGCATATTTTAAACAGTGTACATAAACTATACTGTAGATATAATAAAAGTAGTATGGTAGTATGCTATTATGCATTTGCCATTTATTCATGATGGGGGTGTTCAAACATTTTTGTGGCCCTCTTGTGACCATAAGTTAGAAGTGCATCTGAAGTATAAAACTGAATAATGTGTCTCTCCCTGTGCAGGTTTGGTTTCACTGTACTGCTCTTCCTTCTCCGCTCTGTGGTTTCCATGAATTTTAATGTGGTCTATATTTACACAGCAGAGGTGAGACCCAACATATGAACACTCCACTTACTCTTTAAGGAAGAGCTCACCACAAAATGAAAATTGTTATGATTGGTTTGTGTTTACACAGGTTTATCCTACATCTGTGCGCTCAATTGGAATGGGCTTTTGCACATCCTTCAGTCGAGTTGGGGGAATGATTGCACCTTTTATAGCACAGGTGCTCTATGTGTTTGACTTTGCATGAGTGTCTGTGTACATAAATATCTATGTTCAAATGTGTGTTTAACACATTTGATTTACATACATATAGATGACACAGTGTTTGCATGTGTCATAGGTGTTGATGTCTAAGTCTGTGATTCTGGCCCTGTCACCGTTCGCCATAACGTGTGTGATTTGTGCGGTGGGAGTGGCATTTTTGCCCATTGAGACCAGAGGACGTGCATTACTAGTAAGCATCTTCACATTTCCTCCCACAGTTCTCAAAACAGATTTTCACTGAGGTCAAATTGAGACAGTTTAACAACTTGCCATTTTGTTTTGTCCCTCTATTCCAGCAAGATGCCTGAAATATGCCAAATGGAAATGAAGGACAATTGCACTTTTGTAACAAAACATGATCTCATATTAAAGCTGGAACAATTTTCTATGAATTTTAATGTTGCATGTGTTGGGTTCTTCATAAATAATTATGCAAAATCTGTTCAAACCCTTTTTCCTGTTTTGACACATTTCCTATTTTAACAGGAAGTTGGAAAAGGACACATCAAAGCCCGGCAAAACCACAATTTACTACTTGTTTTAGTCAGTGGCAGGTATTGAAAGAGGGGGTGATCTTATGCTACTGAGCAGTTTATTGAACAAAACTTTCTATATGCTCTTATGAACAAGATTAGTCATCAATATTTTTAGTCCATTTTTCCAAAAGTGTAAGGAATCTGCTTAAATTTTGTTTTATTAACATTTTGCAGAGGGTTTTGTTTTAGTCATAGTTTTCGCCTTTTGACAATGTCAATATTGCATTACTTTTAGACAGTTTTACTAAAATGCCATTCATTTTCGTTGCGTAAAACAGCATTTTAGTTGAGAAGAAAAATTAAACCAAATATTCAAACATTATATAAGCATATAAAATATATAAGCAGCATTATCAGCATAATTATAACAAAACCAAAACTGTCCATGTAGAAACCTAAACTCCTGCAATAACATTGTAATCAGTAAACTATTAAAATACAATGTTGCAATGTTACAATGTTTGCATTCACCTCATATTCGCTGATACAAGTTGTAATATTTCTGATTAATCTCATATAGGTTGCGTTTGGGTGCGTTAACTAACCTGTTAACAGAGTGATTCAGCTGCCTGTGTATTTTAATATCGTACGCTGTTTTCCCTCGTCATTTCGTCAACTGTATTAATTAAGATTTAATTCTCGTCATGTTAATGACCATTTACATGCCTAATTTAGTTGACGACAAGAACACTCCCTGTTATTTATATGTGACCCTGGACCACAAAACCAGTCTTAAGTGTCAATTTTTCAAAATTTAGATTTATACATCATCTGAAAATTTTAATATCTGGAATCTGAGGGTGCAAAAAAATCAAAATACTGAGAAAATCGCCTATAAAGTTGTCCAAATGAAGTCCTTAGTGATGCATATTACTAATCAAAAATTAAGTTTTGATATATTTACGGTAGGGAATTTACAAAATATCTTCATGGAACATGATCTTTACTTAATATCCTAATGATTTTTGGCATAAAAGAAAAATCTATAATTTTGACCCATGCAATGTAGTTTTGGCTATTGCTACAAATATACCCCAGCGACTTAAGACTGGTTTTGTGGTCAAGGATCGAAGGGCCCTCGTGCTGTTCTTGGAGAAAACCATTCCCTGTTGTTTCTTCAGGGATGGCCTTCCATTAGCCTTCAAACAGACTAATGCATTTCTGAATGAACCACTGAAATTATGAATTTTTTTAATCTAAACAATAACAACCACTTGAGGGAGACATTAGACATTACGTTTGTGTTCAGTAGGGATAAAGAAGTGTGTCAAAAGTGTTACAGGCTCTCCAGATCTGTCTTTCCTCCACCACTCTTCTCTTACCCTCCCTCATCTGTACTCTGTCTGTAATCTCTTTAAGAAGTCTCCATCCCGGGGTAAATCAGATTAGATTTAGGGCTGCTTTCTATAACACTCCGACACCAAACACCAACAGCTCTGCCGCAGTACTGAATAATGAATCTGTACGATTAACATGCACTGTCTGCAATATGCAAATCATCTACAGGGTTTATGTGATATAGAATGTGTCCTGAAAGACAATGTTTGTGTTTGTTGCCTGTTTGAAAGCGTTTGTGTAGAGGAGGAGTCAGCGTGTGCCTGGTAGCTCCTTCCTCTGACCTTGGCTACAGAGAGATGGAGAGAGAAAGAGGACAGAGTGTGTGTGTGTGTGTGTGTGTGAAGCGGTTGAGCTAATTCGTGCACTGCAGCTGTGTATATGATACCAGAGTTAATGTGGCACCAACAGCTCTAGATCCTCTTGGGAACTTGCCAGAGAAAAACAGAGCGAGAGACGAGGAAGGAAAGCATGTCTGCAGCATGTGCACACTGCAGAGAAGCAGCACGGTAAATCTCACTTGCATTGAATGTATTTTTGTGTGTGTGCATATGTCAGTCCAGTGCAGCAATGTTGATGCTTTGTGACAGGATCTGAAGAAACCTACATTAGTTCAGATGCTCGATAGGATGTGGAAAGAGCTGAAAAAGCATATGACTGCAGCTGTAAGAATTGTCATTCTTGGTGCATGCTTTCATAGAAACACTTTGACTCTATATACTCAATGAATGACTATAGTTTCATGAATATGTGAAAATGCCCATATACAGTAGTTTCACAGTGTAATCAATGTCTGAATGGCTGACTAGAGGAAAATCTGATCGATCCTCTTTCTGCAGCACTTGCCTTGCGTTCTGTAATCCTCTGCTCTCAAATGGCACAGCAGTCAATCACTGAGACTTTTGAGAGGAGAGAGGGGAATAAGGATATTAATACAGGTCATTTATTTTTAATGCTGATACTTCAGGGTTTTGCCCTCCATTTACAGTTACATGAGAATCATGTGTCGATGACCTCCAATAAAATGGGGAGTTTTCGTTTTGAGAGTAACTTCTTGTTGTTCTTCTTCTTATGCACAGTTTCCATGAACTGCTTGTGAGCATATTCTTTGCTTAAAGGAGTAGATCATGCAGAAATTACAATTCTTTCATAATTTACTCACCTTCAAACCTGTTTAATTTTTTTTCTTCTTCCACAGAGCAGAAAATGAGATGTTTAGCAGAATGTTCATGCTGTTCTTTTCTGTACAATGCAAGTGAATGGGGTCATTCAAACTACAAAAATGAAAAATAGTACTGTAAAAGTGGTCCATATGACTTGTGTGTCATCCAAAGTCAAAAATAGCTTTATGTGAGGAACAGACTGAAATTTAAGTGACCTTTTTTTTTTTTTACCTCTAAACTCTCAAAACTTTCACATTTTTACGGTTTAATTTGTGTGCGTATTGAGACGTGGCACTTCACAAGCAGTTATGAGTAACAAGAACATATAATTATAAAAACTTTTTTGCATCATTGATGTCAAACCTGGTGTGACGTGTCGTGGTGTGGCAAATGAGTTGTGATGAAGATTAGAATTTACGTTTATGATCCTTTTATGGTGTTTTTTGTTATTTTGGGAGCTTGACAGCTCCTGGTCACCATTCAATTTTGATGACACACTTTTCATTTCATCAAGATAAGAGAAAGATTAGTTTGACAGTCACCTTGTCTCACCCATAATCCCCCTCTTTCTCCCAATGGGTAGCATTCCCAAGATTTAATACCAGGCTGACCCTGTCTCTAATGGGCTCCATTTTTAGACACTATGTCAGTATCTGCTTTAGTGCATTTAAATAATCTAAGCACACTTGCTGTATCATATTCTTTCGTATAGGTGCAAGAGAGTGAAAAAATCCGCCATTAAAAGGATTTGGACACCAAAATTACGCTTAAATAGTCTCCTTATCATTGTATATAATCATGAGATATCAAATCAGGCATCATCTGCAAGCTCATATGATGACTCATTCTTATGTGGGCGCTTAGAGGTCTAAATTTTCATCCAGGCTGAATTGCACGGCTGAGTAATAGGCCTGAATGAATTGAGTCAGTGCAGTTACTGTAATCTTTTGTAATGTGCGTAATGAAGTGCTTTACTGTCTGGTGTTTATTGCTGACTCTATGGAGCACTTTAATCCCCACCCCTTTTACTCAACAGCCAATCAGAATGATCACTGGAGTCAGTGCAGGAACCACAGACTACTGCAAACACATTTTGTTTACCTGTTTGTTACCTGTCTACCTGTTTACACACACACACACACACACATAGTATCTATAGTTATCTATGCTTGATATAATACAGATAAACATACATTCAGATAATACAATATAATCATAGGTAATGAGATTTACAAAATTGGTGAAATGAAATATTATTTTGTTTTTTTTTATTTATCTATTTGTTTATTTATTTACTCAAAATTATTAAAAACATTTGAAAACAGAGATTTTGCATTATCAATTCACCAATGCATTTTTTTTTTTGGGAAATGACACTAATGATGAACTCAAAATGTCCAAGTATCAACTAATTATTCACTCTGAACCTTGTATCTGTAGTATATTCACTAATTATAACAATATAGTTTATTTATTAATATAGTATACTAAATATTACTAATCATTTATATCACAAGTTATTTATTGCACTTATAATAATTAGTAGGAAAGTGATGTGTGTATGTGTGCAACACCAGAGTCCAAGGCAATTCAATTAATTTAATTTCAATATAAATATATATTTGTGTCAATAAAATGGCTCTCATAAAAATATCTGTTATATAAGCAGTGACACGTTGAGTGTCATTGAGTTGAGGAGTTAATGAGAGACATGTGTCTGAGTGGAACATGATGTGAAGGTGGATAGCGAGGAATAAGAATGTGGCAGCACTTTTGCTGACTTCACAAAAAAATCTGCTTCACAGCCTATCTATGCGGATTGCTTTCTCTGTTCCCTATTCCATGTTCATCTCTTCCCCATGTTTCCAAAATCAGCCTGCAGTCGCCAGAAATAATTTCTCTTCCTCAGATGTCCTGTGTCTGGTGCCTTCTGGAGGTGAGCTGACTCCTGTGTGGGTCATCGTGGTCGTTTGAGGAGCAGATATGTGGGACGGGCAGTCTAAAACGTGTCATGTGCACGCCCTGTTCGATGCCTTTGTTCAAGCCGCCACATGCAAGGAGACCTTCAGGGCCTTCCAGGAGCTGTGTGAAGAGCTGAAGCTGCATCCCAGCGGTCAGCCGCAGTTCTACCACACCCTGAGGAGCAGACTGCACTACTGGAAGGCCAAAGCACTATGGGCCAAACTGGATAAAAGAGCCAGCCAGAGAGAATACATGAGAGGCCATGCTTGCACCAGCACCACGGTACAAAGAGTCACCCGCAGTGCATTGCAAGAGAGAGTTCTCTTCACTAGCGTGCTGAAAACTGTTTCACATGCAGGTTTTTGTTGTGTGTTCAGTGTCTAATCATAGGTGCAGGTCCGTGTGGATTGCGGACCGCTATAGAGCTGCGATTTCTTGGCGCCAGGGTGATTCTGGTGGAAAAGCGAGATGCTTTCTCACGGAACAATGTTCTTCACCTTTGGCCGTTCACCATCCAGGACCTCCGTGGTTTGGGGGCCAAAAAGTTCTACGGGAAGTTCTGTGCTGGAGCCATAGACCATATCAGTGAGTTAATGTGAACTTGAACTCAGAACTCAGTTGAATACACATTTGTGGTTTTATTGCACACAGTTCATCAGTGCAAATTATTCCAAAGAAAAAAAGCTTGCTCCACTTCTGAAACAACTTCCTTTCCAGGTGACATCATCTATGCCAGGCAGGCTATTGGTTAACGCCCACTTTTCACAATCAATTTCCAGTGAATAAAAGTCCCAACCTACTTTTTCCCCAATAATATTTTAAATCATTTTTTATTAATTAATTAAATTATTTCTTTGCTTTTAAAGTGGCCTTGTTATAGTTTTTTAAATTTTTTATAATTTATCAGTATTGGTTCAAATTTGATATTTATATGAAATGTGCATTTTCTCTGTTTTTCATCTACAATTTACTTTATTGACCATTTAATAAAAAAAAGCATTAAATATTTAATAAGTAGATTTATATAAAATCTATAATTTATATTTTGTATATTTTATCATGTTGTGTTGCCTAAATATTTGTAGTATTTAAAATAATTTATTATTAATTTACTGTATTTAGACTAAAGACATGGCACTTTCTATCATTTAATTATTAATTTTACTCATTTGTCTTAATTAATTTTTGTGAGTTTTATGATAAAGTCTACAAATATAAAATATACTTTGAAAACTAGTTAATAATATACAATGCAATTTATCAGTTTAATCCTATTTTAAGGATGCTTTGATTATTATTATTTTGTAATGAAGACAATGATTAACAACACAATTTTAGTAGTGCTTTCTGAAAGCATTTAATATTATCATTTGTTGGCTGTGATTGTGTTGATTTCTAGTCTATTCATACTATTTAACTACCTTTTTCTCATTATTTATTCTGTTTTACCTGTTAATATTACGTTACGAGAGTAAAATAGTTTTGAATGGTTTATCAACATCTATGTCTGTGCAGGTATTCGTCAGTTGCAGCTGATGCTTCTGAAGGTGGCCTTGTTACTGGGCGTTGAGATTCATGTGAATGTGGAGTTCAAACATCTAGTGGAACCTCCAGAGGACCAAGAGAAACGTGAGAATATAATTGAATACACTTTCACCCTAATTTTAACTGCCAACGTAACTGATTTTTTTGATTGATTTTCCCATTTGTCCTGTTCAGGTGTTGGTTGGCGAGCAGAAGTCCACCCCAACTCTCATCCAGTCAGTCAGCTGGAGTTTGATGTGGTTATTGGGGCAGATGGTAGAAGAAACACCTTACCAGGTAACTGCAAAACACCTCCGTCTCAGGCCTATTGTGATAAAAGTTTATCCAATCAGAAATGCATCAAACAGATGCTTCAGTCGGTGGTTAATATGAATATGTCTTCCTGGTTTCACACCATTTCGTAACTTTAGTTCCCCAGTTCCCTGCTCATTTTCAATGGACTTCCTTTTTCTCTCTCACACATACGCCAAAACCCCAAAATTGTCAGAAACGAGACCGGGATCCAATAGCAGGTGAACACAAAA